TGTAATTAACAAGTCTCAAGATCAATGTGATCCATGCCCATGGCTTTCTCAATTATTCATTTCAATTTTCTCTTTTTATATGATATTTTGATGTTAATTTTATCTTAATCTAATATCTCCATCGTGTCACAATTTCGAATGGAAGACCAGTCGGGCTGTATGATACAAGGTAAAATATCAATAATTTGTGGACATTTCTATCCACAATTTTATCCACTATTTTTTTTTAAGTAAACCTCAATTGTATATGTCTTACAATTACCGCTTGGGCAAAACTTGGAAGGCTCTTCCTGAATTTCCAATATGAATTTCCAATGTCATGATCCCTTCCGAATTCATGCGTAGTACATAAACAAGTGGTCTGTTATTAGACCACCTGGTCAGTTATTAGACCACTACAGCTCCTCCTGACCAATTCAATAAGTTCTAAAATTTGAAGACAAGTATTTATTAGACAGTTGACTCTATGTATTTATTGGGCAGTTATACAATTTTGAGACTATGTTATATACAGTTTAAATATATATATATATATATCATAGACGGATTATATATTTTTAAAATTCATACTTAGATAAATCTTTAATTTAGTTAAAATGGATTTGATTTTGAGCTATTTAATTGAATTCAAATGTAATTAAAAAAAATAAAGTCAAATGTATGATCTGTTAAATAGGAAATGGTATCTTGAATTATAGAACTATAATGTTCAATATACGATGAACCAATATTTATCATATTTGTTTATCATATATTTTTCTGTTTTTTTATTTGTTTATCATATTTCTTTGTTAATTCCTCTAACATCTTTCCTCAAGCGATTTCTTAAGTTGACCACTAAAAAGTTTAGCTAAACACTAAAGCGATTTCTTAAGTTGACCACTAAAAAGTTTAGCTAAACACTAAAGCCTAATACTGAAAAGGTTGGGTTAAATAAAATAATAGGGAGTTAATATGAGATTTGACTTAGACATAAGCGCATAAACCATGGTCCTAAACATAGGCCCCTAATCCATAAAAGTAAATGAGTTGGCAGTTAATCTCTAGGATTATAACAAACGCATAGACATATGATAGTAGGTTACCCTAGGTTCTAAAAAAACAAAAAGAGATTCGTGATAAGAGTAGAACTCAGTTTCCAAAAAAGTGTTAAGTAGCACCTAACGCTTTATTCACCATTGTGTTATTTCTTCTAAAACTAAGGTAGGAAGTAGAGGGGTTGTTTTTATTTAGTCTCTTGATATTTTGAAAACCAAATCACGGCTTCATCCACTATTTTTTATCAATAAACCTAACTGCCAATTGAAACTTTTCACAACATTTAATTTGAAGCAAACGTCCCTGTGGATACGAACTCAAAATATCAGTTCCCTATATTACTTGTGGTCGTGTGCGCTTGCACATAATCTCTTATGCATAGAGGTAGATAATTTCCAACAAGTTTTTGGCACCGTTGTCGGGGACTTATTTTCAAAATTATTTTATTTTTAAATGAATTGTTTCATATTGCGATTGTTGCAAATTTCAGTTCTTTGAGATTTTATTATTATATATAATCTTTAAAGGGTTGATTTTTGTGTATGAGCACATGATCTGGCTTACATGAGTTTGATCCAGAGATAGAAATACCCTTAGAAGGATAAGACGTGAGCAGAGGCTAAGAAGACAGAGAAAATTAGAAAGAGAACGAAGTTGAAGAGACCATTGATAGCACACTTTGAGTTACATTTCATGAGATTTATATTGAAATTATTTGTTAGTTTTCATTTCTTCAGGACAAATTTAAGCACATAAGATATATTTTGCAAGAATAAAGTATCGAGAGAAAATGAGACATATTTGGATCAAAATGAGAGAAAAATCGGAATCAAAGTGACCAAGATGGAATAACAACAAGATTTGAAGCCAAAACCCCAAAGAGATAGCGTCGTGGTGCTCCGAAGTTTAAATTTTGCATTTTGTGAATAGTGTAGTGCCATGGTGCTGCCGTGACGATTTTTTTTAATAAAATAAAAATAGGGTTTTGCAGCCGCCAAGAACGAGGAGTTTGTGAGAGGTTTTTTGGCAGTTTGCCTTTTTGGTCAATTTGGAGGGTAAGAAGACCATTGGAGAGCTTAAAAAATTGATTTTCAAGGCTCGGGATTGTGGAGGTCGCTTCGAGGACGGACGATTGACACGCCGAACATAGTTTCTTCTTCTTTCCCTTGATTTTTCTAGTTTTGTTATGAAATTCTCATTGTGATTTTATTGTTTTCCATTGAATATGAGAAGTTAAACCTTTTAGCTTAGGGATTGATGTAGCCATTGAACTTTATGCATTGATTTTTTAGTTTTCTTGATTGAATATTTATGAAGGTTCTATTTATGTTTCTCTATGCTTAATGCCTTTAATGTACTGGCCATAGATTGATTGATTTTAGATTTGAAATCTTACGCTCGGGAGAGGTGGTTTAGAGTTAGAATTGAGATGCATAACTAAATGGGTTTTAAGATTGGGAGATTTAGGAGTCCTTTAGAGGTCGTTAAGACTTGTTCAGTAAAGCCCTTACTTGTTATAGAAACTAGATAGGGATATTGGTTTCTGAATTGGTAAGGAGAATTAGCTTGTGCTCGGGAGAGACAGTTGATATTTGAGAGTTCTTGACTTATAGAATTAATAATCTGTTCAATCTTGGGTAATTAAGTAGTTGGTTCATAGATTCAATAGGTGAAGTCAATTTCGTAGGACATTTCTCCCCATTGTTTTTATTTTTATTATTGAATGTTTATTTCCTTTGATTATATTATCTCATTTTATTTTGATTCTCTAAATAAAATTGAGCAATTGTATCTATGGTACTTGAGTGATCTAGAAACCCAATCTAGAGGACGATTTCGATATTGACTTACCACTTTATTAAAACTTGACCCATACACTTGCGGTAAGCAATCTCTGCTACAACCATCGAAATGGATTATAATCCACCTTTGAATGGAGACATGAATGATTAAGGAGCAAACCGAGCAGAAGTTCCTAATCCGATCCTGTTAGCTGACAATCGAGATGTAGTCACATAGTTTGAGCTGAAGCCAGTCATGTTGCAAATGTTATAGATGATGAGACAATTTAGTATATGAACAAATGAAGGAGATGCATAAGACTTAAATAGTTTCCTTTTTCTCTTAGGAATAATGCAAGGACATGGCCGAATGTGCTAGAAYCGGATTCGATCACCACTTGGGCAGAACTGATAGAGAAATTTTTGACAAGATATCATACAGTGACAAGGAATGCAGATCTCTAAAAAGACATTGTAGCATTTCGACAAAAGGAGAATGAAGCAGTGAATGAGCTTGAGAACGATTCAAAGAGTTGTTAAAGAGATGTCCAAGCCACAGATTGTCCGCATGCTTACAAATCAAACAATTCTATAGAGGATTGGATCGCCCATCAAAGATGATGTTGAACACGACCGCTTATGGTTCATTGCTAGAGAAGTTAGTCAATGAGATTGTAGACATCTTGAACAAAATGACGGAGATTAATGATAAAGGAGAATTGAGAAGATCATTACCGAAGAAGCAAATATCGACATGAAATTTTTGTTAGACACTGCAGCTTCTCTTCAAGCACAAATGGTAGCAATGAATCAAATGTTGAAAATGTTGACAGTGGAAAAAGCCCACAAAGCGCCTGCCGCTACTTCTGCTGCTATTCTTGATCTCTCTCCTGTTTTTCAAATTTCAATTTTTTTTGTTTATTGAAACTATCCAGGTAATCTAGCTTCCATTTATTATGTAGGTCAAGGTGTTCAACGAAATTTCAATCCATAATCAAACACATRCAACCTTGGTTTGAGGCACCATCCGAACTTTTCTTGGAGTAATCAAGGAGAAKCAAGTAGCAGTGCTTAAGCACCTGCTTAGCAATTCAAGCAGAATTACACTTCTCATGTATTTCCTACCCAACCGACCATACCACCGCAGCAATACAACCAACAAAGAACGCAGAATAATNCTTAGCAATTCAAGCAGAATTACACTTCTCATGTATTTCCTACCCAACCGACCATACCACCGCAGCAATACAACCAACAAAGAACGCAGAATAATAATCATCAAGGTGGAAACAATGGAAGTTTGGAGCCAATGATGAAAGAGTATATGACAAGAAATGACGCTATTAGGAGAAATTTGGAGATGAAAATGGGGCAATTGGTAAATGAGTTGAAGTCAAGACCCTAAGNGATGAAAGAGTATATGACAAGAAATGACGCTATTAGGAGAAATTTGGAGATGAAAATGGGGCAATTGGTAAATGAGTTGAAGTCAAGACCCTAAGGTAAATTGCCAGGACACATATAAACTCCCAAGCGAGAAGGTTAAGAGCAATGTAAGGCAGCAACAACAAGAAGTGGATTGACCTATGATGAGCCTGCACTTCTAGTTGAAGGAACCGATATATCTACACATGTATCTGCATTTGTACCTACACCACAACCAGAAGAGAGGGCAGGGCCAGTAAGTTCATAGGAGAATGGTAAGAAAACTGACAAAGGTAAACAAGTAGTGCCTAGTGTTTTACTTTGCAGGTAGGTAATTTTATAATTCCTCCACATTTTTCTCAAAGGTTAGCTAAAAAGAATCAGGATAGCCACTTTAAGAAATTATTTGAAATATTGAAATAGTTGCATATTAACATCCCATTGATAGATGCATTAGAGAACATATGCCTAATTACACTAAGTTCTTAAAAGATATAATCTCTAGGCGAGAGAAATTAGGTGAACATGAAATAATAACCTTAAAAAAATGCAATAGTGATGCTCTAGAAAATCTATTATGTTCTAAACATAAAGACYCAGGTAGTTTTACTATCACTTGTTCGATATGTGGTAAGAATCTAGGAAGAGCATTGTGCAATTCATGTGCATGTATAAACCTTATGCCTCTTTATGTTTTTAAAGAGTTAAATAGGAGAAGTTCACCCCACTACTGTAACTTTGCAATTAGCTGATAGGTCCATAAAGAAATCGGAAGGAAAAGTTGAGGATGTTCTTGTTAAAGTTAATAAATTTATTCTTCTTGCGGATTTTATTATTTTGGATTGTAAAACATATCTTGAGAYGCCGATTCATTCTTGGAAGATCATTTTTAGCAACCGGCGACACTATCTTTAATGTGAGGAAAGGAGAAATTACAATGAAGGTAAATGATGARCGAGTCATGTTTAATGTCCTAGATGCAATGCGTCTCCCGGATGAAGTCGAAGAGCGCTCAGCAATAAGGGCAACTATTGAAGAGTTTCAGGAGCTGATTGATACAGGCATAGAAGCAGATTTGGATGCCGTAGAAAGGGATGCTAAAAAAGTGGCTAGTGCGTTACTTTGGCGGTGATGGAAAAGTTCGAGGTTTGCAACCAACAACAACTGATCTAAAAGCCTTGCAACCTTCCATTATTTAGCCTCCAGAATTGGAGAAGAAACCCTTACCTTCCTATTTAAAATACGCATATTTGAGTTTGAATGATACTTTTCCGGTTATCATTTCTTCATATTTGACTAACGAGCATGAAACTTTACTTTTGCAGGTATTATCCAAGTACAAAAATGCTGTAGGATGAACCATAACAGACATAAGAGGAAGTAGCCTCGCATTTTGCATGCACAAAATCATCCTGGAAGAAGAAGCCACCAATTACATTGAAAGCTAACAAAGACTCAGCCTTAAAATGAAAGAGGTGGTAAAGATTGAAATAATTAAGTGGTTATGCGCATGGGTGATCTACCCCATATCCTGGTTCAATGCGTACCTAAGAAGGGTGGCATGACGGTAATCACCAATGATGACAGTAAGCTGATACAGATGAGAATGATGACCAGTTGAAGAGTGTTCATGGATTATCGTCATTTGAACAAGATAACTAGAAAATATGATTTCCCACTTCCTTTTATTTACTACATGCTCCATTGTTTTGCAGGGAAGAAGTGCTATTGCTTTTTAGACGGTTATTCTGGTTACAACCATATAACGATAGCTCCGGAGGACCAGGAAAAGACAACTTTTATGTGCCCCTATGAGACGTTTGCATTACGAAGAATGTCGTTTGGTCTTTTCAATTCCCTGGCTACCTTTCAAAGATGCATGACAACGATATTTTCTAATATGGTAGAGCAAACAGTTGAGAGTTTTATGGATGACGACTTTTCTGTTTTTGGTGAATCTTTTGAAATGTGTTTGAAAATTTTGGAAAACGTATTAAAATGATGCGAGAAGGCTAATCTTGTGTTAAATTCGGAAAAGTGCCATTTTATGGTACCTGAGGGAATTTTGTTAGGACATAAGATTTCAAGTAAAGGAATAGAAGTTGAAAGGGCGAAAATTGATTTAATTTCTAAATTACCCCCACTCACTTTGGTTAAAGGCATTAGAAGTTTTCTTTATATGTGTTAAGGATACATATGTAACATATGTAAAAATGTTACATATGTGTTAAAGTTACTTGTGAGATGTTACATGTTTGGACAACTATATATATAATTGTTGTTTTCCTTCATTTTAAATATCCAAGCATACCACAATTAGGTATTCTCTTCCTCTCATAAGAGTTCTCCCTTATTTGGTCTTGTTATTCTTGTTTGTATTCAGAGTAAGTGTCTAATAGTTCTGCCAGATCCGAATAGTTCGAGGTTGATGTTCTACCGGAGTTAGTCATTGTATCATTCTAAGACGATCGCTATAGTCTGCTAGCAACTTGTACAGAGCGAATATTTGTCTTCAGGTTAGGGCTATCAAAGCGTGCCTTGACTATATTCATCAAGTTTTGGTGTTCATTGAGTTATCAAATTCTATAATTGTTTGAAGCTAGTTATGTTGTAATCTATTTGGAAGTATTACATAGTTTACATATACAGCTATATATACCAAACAATTTGAAAATAGATTTTCATGGCTGCAACACTTCCATCAATGCTCCTTCGATGATGGGATCGATCATTGTCAAATCTCATGCTGAAAACCAAAGAAGTTTAAGGGGAAAAAATTCAAAAGATGCCAAAAAAGATGATCTTCTACCTCACCACCCTAAATCTTGCTCACATCCTAAAGGAGTTATGCCGAACTACTCCACTAGAAGCAATCATTCCTGAAACTGAAGCTGYCAAGCAAGCGTGAATGCATTCAGATTTTTCTATGTCGCAACTGCATTCTAAGTTACATCTTGTATAATATCTATTGCAATGCCTTTGATACTTCAAGACAATTGTTTGAGGCGTTAGACAAGAAGTACAAGCTGGAAGATGCTAGTACTAAGAAATTCTTTACTGGAAAATTATTAGATTATAAAATGGTTGATACCAAGTTGGTAGTCAATCAGTTGGAAGAATTGCAAAATATCATTAGTGATTTGCAAAGTGAAGAATTGGTCATTAATGAACCATTCCAAGTTGCTGTTGTAACTGAAAAATTTCCTCATGCTTGGAGAGATTCAAATGTTATCTCAAACACAAGCGAAAGGAGTTATCCCTAAAGAATCTTACTATGAAACTCCACATTGAATATGACAATAGAATGGGAGATAGAGAACTACAAAAAGTTGAAGCTAATGCTCATATTTTTGAAGCGTCAAGGCGTCATCCCAAAAAGAACCAATCTTGAGTCAAAGAATGAGGCTAACAAGCGCGTTCGTGGAATTTGCTGGGTTTATGGTAAGAGTGGTCATATAGTTGCAAACTGTAGATACAAAAAGGGACAAAGCTCCAACAACCGGGCCAACATTGTGGAAAATGACAATCTAATTATTGTCATCTCTGATGTAAATATAGCCACTGACATCGAAGGCTAGTGGATTGATACTAGTGCTACTAGGCACATTTGTGGGGACAAATTATCGTTCACCACTTATGAGAAGCCAGATGACAGTGATAAACTGTACATGGGAAATGCTTCGACAACCTCAATGGAAGACATAGGAAAAATCCTGCTGAAATGGACTTCTGGAAAAATACTTACCTTCACTGTTGTGTGGTACGTGTCAGAGATTCGAAAGAATCGAGTGTCAGAACCCTACTCAATAAAAAATAGTTCAAACTTGTATTTGAGTCAGATAAGATTATTCAAGGGGGGTATGTATGTGGGAATGAGCTATCTGAATGATGACATGTTAAAATTGAATGTATTGGCACAAGTGCTCAATAATAATAATAATGATAACAACTCTTCTATTGATATTGTTGAGTTGTGTGATGTAAGACATTCTAGGTTGGGGCATGTAAATTATCATTATTTACAAATAATGGTAAGTTTATGAAAATTGCTTAATTTTAACATTGATAATAGACACAAATGTGAAGTTTGTGTTGAATCAAAGTTTTCTAGAAAGTCATTTTCATCTATGGAAAGAAGTAATGAGGTACTTGATTTAATCTACAGTGATGTATGTGACTTAAAAAGTACTCCTACAAGAGGTGGTAAAAGATGTTTTATCACATTCATTTATGATTGTAGTAAATATTGTTATATATATTTATTACATAGTAAGATGGGACCTTAGATGTTTTAAAAATATACCAGACAGAAGTTGAAAATCAACTTGAGAAGAAAATAAAACTACTTAGATCAGATAGAGGGGTGAATATGAATCATCATTACTTTTTGAATTTTGTGAAGTTAATAGTATAATCCATAAAACTACGACACATTATACACCACAATAAAATGATGTAGTTGAAAGAAATAACCGAATTTTGAAGGACATGGTGAATTGCATGTTAAATAGTTTAGGTTTACCCATAATTTGTGGGGGGAAGCTTTGCTTACAACAAATCTTAAATAAAATTCCACATAAGAAGACCAAAAAGTCGCCTTTATGAAGTGTGGAAAATGAAGTTACCTTCATATAAAGTACTGAAAGTGTGGGGTGTTTGGAAAAGGTACAAATTCTTTTACCAAAAAGGACAAAACTTGTACCTAAGACAGTTGATTGTGTCTTTATAGACTATGCTATGTATAGTGCTGCTTATAGTTTCATGGTGATTAACTCACAAATACATGATATTAATAATAATACTATCATGGAATCTATTTAGGTTGAATTCTTTGAGGATATATTTCCTTTAGTAGAAGAAAGACACGGAAGTAATGGTGTCAAAAGGAATCATGAGGCTAGTTTTTCAAAAGGTCAAATTGATCAGGAAACTACTATCGAAACTAGAAGAAGCAAAAGAGCTAAGAAAACTACTTTTCTTGGGCTTGATTTCATAACTTATATGATAGAAGGAGAATCACAAAGTTTTCAAGAAACTGTGTCATCTTCGAGCGTACCTTATTGGAGAGAAGCTAACAATAATTAGATAGAATCCATTTTACAGAACAATAATTGGATATTCGTTAATTTACCTTTTGGAAGTAAATCGATTTTTAAAAGAAAGCTAAAAGTTGATGTCACTATTAATAAATATAAAGCACATTTAGTAGCTAAAGACTATTGTTAGAAAGACTGGCTAGATTTCTTTAGTTCCTATTCTCCAGTGACGATGATTACATCTATAAGAATGTTAATTGTTATAGCAGTTTTATGAAATTTGAAAATACACCAAATGGATGTAAAAATTGTATTTTCAAACGTAGATTTGGATGAAGAAGTCTATATGGAACAACCTGAAGGGTTTGTTGTAAAATGACTGAAAAATAAWGTTTATAAACTTTTCAAGTCTCTTTATGGGTTAAAACAAGTACCCAAACATGACATGAGAAGTTTGACCGCACTATGTTATCTAATGGATTTAAGATAAATGAGTGTGACATATGTGTCTATGTTAAAACTATAGATCAAGATTACGTCATTGTTTGCTTACATGTTGATGATATGTTGATGATATGTTGATAATGAGTACAAGAAGTGTCATTGATTCAACTAAAAGGATGTTGAATTCCAACTTTGATATGAAAGACCTTAGTCTTGCTGATGTTATCCTTGGAATAAAAATAATAAGAAATTCAAGTGGATATATAATTTCTCAATCTCATTACGTAGAGAAAGTGTAGAGAAAATTTGGTCACTTTCAGAGTAAGTCGGTAGTTTTTCATTTTGATATAACTTGTAAGTAGAAGAAGAGTAATGATGAAGGTGTATCTACTTTAAAATACTCTAGAGTTGTGGGTAATTTAATATACACAATGAATTGTACAAGACATGCTATTGCCTATTCGGCAAGAAGATTAGCAAGATATACTAGCAATTCTTGGCATGATCATTGGAATGCATTAGTCAGAGTTTTAAAGTACTTGAATTATACTTTAGACTGTGGATTGCAATATACGAAATATTCATTTGTACTTGAAGGATTTATTGATGCTAACTGGATCTACGATAGCATGGAGACTAAGTCAACTAGTGGGTATATAAATTGTCAAAACAAATCTGTATAACATGATCTACTATGTAATCAGAGTTTATAACTCTTGATAAAGTTGGAGAAGAAGTAGAATGACTTTGAAACTTTCTTAAAGATATTCCATTATGGCCGAAGCCTGTAAGTACCATAGGTATTTATTGTGACAGCTTAACAGCCTCAGCGAGGGTTAAGAATAACGTCTACAATGAAAAGTCATGACACATAAGACGCGGACATAATTATTTAAGGCAGCTGCTCCTTAATGGAATAATTTCCACTGATTATGTAAAATTAAAAAAGAATGTTGCAAACCCTTTGATGAAAGAATTGTCGAGAGATCAAGTTGCATATACATCAAGAGAAATTGGGTTAAAGCCTATAAAATGAAGTGTGTGGTCGTAACCTAACCTAGTTGACTTGAGATCCCAGGATCTAAGTTCAATAGGCAAACTGGCTTAATCATTCATAGTTGACTTATAGTTTCTTCCCATTTATATGATGTTATATGTGTGATCTATTGATGTTAAGGTCATATCGATATCTTGATTACAAGAGGGGTAGTGGCAAAATACTCTTAATCAATATCACCTATGTGAGAGTAGAATTTGGTCGGTTCTATGAGAACTTTTAAAATGACTTATGTTCTCTAAAGCWCTCATGAAGTCAGGATCTTGTCCAGAATAAGATATATTTTGTGTGATATTTGTTGTCTCAATTTATCATGATAAAGATAGTTCAAGAGCAGGTTCTCACTATTTCTTCAGTAAATTTGATAGATATTCACTAAGGAAGGTTCAAGCCCAAAAGACACTTCTCCTGATGCATAACTTATATATTTGCTCTCTTCTTTTCATTTTGTTTTTGTCTCACTTTCTTTCATGTGAGGGATTGTTTGATTTTAATGTGTGAAAGAAAGTGAAATTTAACGAAGTTTATTCGTATATACATTGTGAATATTATTTTATGTTTGTCAATCATTTATTTATTTATTTAGTGGTTTTGTTTCTTTATTTT